AAAAAAAAAATAAGTACATTGATATTGCCTTTCTGCAAAACATCTAAGGCAGTGTGTAACAGTTCAAAACAATTATTTAAACCCATTGCAATCAATAGTAAGCCATCATAAAAGTATTACAGAATAATGGTAAAGCCACTAAAACCAAGCTTTTTTGGCCTTCTTTCATTTTGTCATTAGTTTAAACTTGGCATCAAGTCCCATTTCTACTATCACGTCATTTTTTGATTTTAAAAAAATTGAATTGCTGCATTTTTGCAAGCAATTTCCTTCATATGCTGCATTTTATGTGTCCTTCACTAATCTAGGCAGTTTTGTGTATGTCCCCCTAATGTGCACATTTTTGTATGTGTATCACAAAATTCAGGGCTGTTCATGTACCGAAGAATACCTGTATTTCGGTTTGTGTATTAGTTCAGTGTGGATTAAGTAGGTGTGTACAGAATATCGCCCAAAGGAATGCCCCTCTTCCCTTCTCAGGTGCTCAGGGCCAGTGCCAAGGGCAAACGGCATCCATCCCCTCCCAGGACAAGATGCTTCAGAACTGTGCTCCTCTTCCCCATGGCAGCCTGCACATTCCCCTGTTTCGTGCTCCATAGGAGAGAACAGAAGTGGTTAGATGGAGGGACAAGCAGTGCCCCTGCCTGCTTGCTCCGTGGCTTCACTGCCTGACAAACAGGCAGATGAGCACCATGCTGAGGAAGAGGAAGAAGAGGAGGTGCAGCTGGCAAAAATGGTGGTTAGAAAAGCTAGTGCTGGGAATGAAAGAGGCAGCTGTTCTTGGCCACCAGGGTGCCACGGACTCTTTGGATGATGAGGCCTGGGAAAGGAGTTCTGTGGTGGAGGAGGAAGAGCTATCTCAAGACCGCTGTCTCCACATGTTCAGGCAGACCCTGAGCACCAACAGGGTTAGGGAGTGCTGTGAAGGGACATGGAGGAGGAGCCGGGCCTGATCCTTGACCCCATGACCTGGCACTGGGAGAGAAGGGCTAGCCTGCTAGGGGGCCTGCAAAGATCTAGGAAGCTTGCCCTTCCCCAGAGGGGAGACTGAAAAGGAGGGCGCTCAAAAATAGGCTGCAGTCTGGGTTCATCAAACTACTCTGTGCATGGATGTACATTCAAAGTAAAGTGCTTTTTCCAAAGAATGGTCCGTTGTTTTGAAGAGAGGAGAGTAGTAAAAAGGCAGTTAAAACAAGGGAGGGAGCCATTGAGGGCATTTGCCTCATGGCCCTCAAAAATTAGAAGCCAACCCTGGTGGTGCTGGATGGAAACTCTGTGTAGCAGACTCCACTCCCCTGTGGAGACCTGTGCTGTACACTGCAGATACAACAATGTGAAGAGTTGTTATGCAACCGTTTTCACCAGCCTTCATACTAATGCTGCATGTTCTGGTCCTTGACTTGAGTCTGAGGAGGAAACCCGCAAGTTGGAGCTTTTGCAACACCACCAGGGAGTATCTCCTGCTTCATGGACCATGATGGGGTTGCCTCTGCCTTTATGTAGCATTCCAGATTATCTGTTGCACCTCTCACACACACCCCACACTCACTCATGTCCTGCTTGATCACAAATCCTTGAACTGACCAATCCAGGCCTTCCCAGTATGAGCCATCTCTCCACAGCTGCAATGTTCCCTCAGAAACTGGATCCCAAGCTCCATTAGGGAAACAGAGAGGAGTATATGTGCATTTTTCTTGCAAATGTTTTAAATATATGTTATCCCCTTTTAGTATCTTCTAGATGCCAATGCAGGAATAAATACAAATAAATAACCAATGGGTATAGAAAGCATTAAAGCATCCATTTCTCCTTTGAAAATGGCCCCATCCATCCATCCAGCTCAGTTTTGCAATGTGCATGAGTTCATTTTGGGAATCCCAGATTGCTTTCAGAACCTCCCGTTCTTCTCAGAGACCAAAGTCTCCTGTGCAACTGAGGAAAAGATTCTCAGGATATAGTAAATTGCGGTGGGGCCTCCTGAAGCCCAGCTCTTTACCTGCAGAAGAATGCCAGGGAAGGCACGGCACCATCCACCAATTTCTTTGGGAAGACTGTGAATTAGCCAGGGAAAGTATTGCCTTAAGGGGGAGCTGTTTGGAAGTGAAACTTAGTTGCTATACAGCAACTTATGATGCCCCTCCACAGAATCTGTTGGATGCGCAATATTTTTATGCAGTTAAGGAAACAAGATCAAATAATGTTGCTTCAGTTTATTTTTAAAAATAAGTAGGCAGCTCCACATTTGTCAGTTCCACATTTTTAAAAAAGCATGTCCTAGACATTTTTTTAATCTAGACGAAAAGCTTCAGAATGCATTTATAAGGCATAATTATCAATTCTGTGCGCTTTTGAAAAATTCGTAAGGATGTTGCAGATGTTTCTTTAGGCAGTTAAACACATTACGTAAATGTAAATATTGCAGCCAGAGAACAGTAAATATTTTATATTGTGCACTCACTTAGTACTTGTTTAATGCATCCAGAAATTGCATGAATGGCTTCTCTTTGAACTTAGGATTTTATATTGCTTTGGGAACTTGAATTATAAACACAGGCCAGAAGAGTCCATGGTGCAGATCTGGGGATGAACCCCAGCTCACTAGCATAGCAGGTGCATGCAGAGCCGAGAATTCCTCCCGTCGAAAACCTGGGGAGCACCTGCCTGCCATAGCAGACAATCCTCTCACCTGATGGTAAGGCAGGCTATTGTCCTCATTCACTTCTCCTGGTTACAGAGGTGCAGGGGTGAGAAACACCTGTAGCACTCCAGGTGTTGTTAGAGTACAGTTCCCATCTTTCCTGACCTAAGGATCTACCAAAGCAAGGAAATCTGGCTTGTTTGAGCTTGCTAGATTTCCCGCTCCATTTCTGGTCCAATGATCAGGCTTGGAGTTTTCTCATGAAAATCTATCTGTAAGATAGAGCACAATATGCACGCCTTTTTCAAACTTCAAATTAAAATTTTGTAAACAAGTCTGGAGAAGCACACGAGTTTAATGCAGTTAGCAATATTTGTGCAATAGTGCAAAGCCACATATTTTTGGCTTGCTGTTTTGCATGCATACATTTACACAAGCAAACAAAAAATACCCCATACAGTGTGGTTTGGTAAGATTTGTATCGGTAGTGTGAAGCCATGCATTCCTTGCAGTGTTAGGGCAAGATATAAATTTAATGTAATAATAATCAGCCACATCCTTTCAGGTGCCATTTCTGTACAAAAGAGCACCTAAGACCATGTGGCAGATGGCTACTTCCACAAATAGCACCATTCTCTTTAAAGTCACATGCTTTCCCAGGGCTGGTTTGCAAAAATTCTATCACAGATGAAGAAAGAAGCATGCGCATCATAGCCCATTCCACAGATGTAGCCCATGAGCTGGCCCAATTCATGCTGCAAGTCAGTGCCAGCTTGTGGGTGGCAGACAGGAATCCAGAGGTGGGGGACAAACTAAGGAAATCCAGTGGCTCCCCCCACCATTAAATTCTTTATCTATCTCTATTCTAACTGTTGGCCATGCTGGGTGGAGCTGATGGCAATGGAGACCAACAATATCTGAAGAACCACTGGTTCCCCATCCCCACATCTAATGAAAGGGGATGCCCCGCTACTGTTCCAAGCACTGTCTCAATGCTTCCTTTCATATTCCTGCATGGGTTAGTCGGGACCAGATCCAGCTTTGAGGAAATTCTGGAAGAGGTGAACTCCAAAGGCCCCATGAACTTCCCCTCACTCTTTGGTTACGCGCAGGGAGACAGGTTTGTGTCCCGTCCGTGCAGGAAATTGGGTGGCAGAGAAGGATCTGTCACATGGACTTACTCTGGGAAGCAGGTAGCAGCAGAGAAACAAAGGGATTGGGGCCACTCCTCCTACAATAACGCCTTCAAACTTGGTTGACTCAGATTATCCTTCAGAAGTGAAAGAAGTTGTGGGGTTGAAATTCACAACTGAAATGCCAAGGTCAGTGGACCCATAGATAAGCCAGGCAGTTGCTGAGAATCTGACTGGTTCTAGCTCTGCGGGAAAGTTCAATGACCAAGCAGGAGGGGCAGATTTAACATCACAGAGTGTCAGGTTAAGAGGGCAGATGGAGGAAGAAGTGTCAGACATTGCAGGGTCCACCTTGAAGGTGGAGGTAACAAATGTGCTGTGGAAGGGAGCAGAGGCATCTGGCTGGGAATGGACTTGGACTCACCGAACTGCATTTCCACCATGGCCAGTATTCTGTCTTTGCTGTGGATTTTGCTGTGTATTTGCCTTCTGCAAGCCTCTTCCTTAGTGCCACAAAGCCAGCCTAGTCAGTCAGCTTACCATGATAAAGGCTTCGCGTTAGCCTTGGTTCTGGTCTTTTTCGGAAGGAATGAGAGAAGGCCAGCAGGAACTGTACTGGCTCCTGCAATACCCTTAATTTTCTTTCTTTTTTTCCTTCCTTCCTTCCTTCGCAATCCTTTGGGCACTGGGAAGAGATAAGGGATGAGAGTAGTGCCATTTCTCTACTTGTACTTGTGGGCCACCAACATTTCAGCTCATTCAGAGTAATGCAGACTCCAACCTTTGTGAAAATTGCTATGCATTAGGTTATGCTGGGAATTTAAATGAAAAGAAGAATTGTTATTTTGCAATAAGCGGATTCTGTATGGGCAGTGATATTGAACAAGGCTGCAATCCATTCAAAGTGATCTACTCTTAAGCCCCAGTGTTAGTGAGGCTTGCTTGCTTGCTGTTTACAACATTTATATCCCAGCTCCAATTCCAAGCTCCTTGTGGTACATTCTGTCATTCCCAAATTACAGTTATTTGAATGCATACCCTATGGTAAAGTGTAAAATCATTTTAGTAGTTTCTTCTGTACTTAATTGTTTCTTTCAGACTTCTTGCACTTAGCACACTGATGCGAAGGCTTTGCAGCTGGTGTTGTTGTTGTTGTTGTTGATAGTGGTGTTCTTTCTTTACCTTGCAATGCCTTACAGGTTGATTTTTTTCCCCAACTGTATTTACAGAAAATGCAAACAAATTGGAAGAAAGCGCCAGGGGAATCTACATTCCTTGTCCAGAACATTTTAATGGCTTGTGCATGCATGGAAAATGCGAACAGTCTGCTAATATGCTGGAACCATCTTGCAGGTAACACATTCCCCAAACCAAGCAGGTGATGATAAACTGAACAGGCAGACTTGCTAATCCATGTTATCCTGATGCAGCAAGCAAAACAGTAATTGCTGAACGCCCAGCCATTCCTGATCTAAATTATGTACAGAAGCACGTAATGTATGTAGTGGAGCTGCATTAAATTATGCAGCAGCATTAATCTGTTTATAAAAGCATTCCTGCAGTGCCTGTCAATAGATTCCTAAAAAGGCAGCACAGGGCAGAGGCTTGCCCAGTGGGTATTATCTGTTGATCTCCTGCACACAAACAACAGCTACTGTCCCAGGAAATCCCACCATGAACAGAAGTCAAGAACTATGTCAACATCAATTTCTCCATGTGGCAAAATGGCTGAAGACAGGGGGATTGCATTAAGTGAGAAAAAGGTGAGAGGCAGAATAAGGTTAGAGTCCAGAAAGAAAAACTGAATTGTGACTAATGGAGTTTCAGCTCAGTATTTCATACAGCCAAATATTGGCAAGCTTGGACAGTAGCTGGCTAGTTGTACTAAGCCAGTGGCAGGCAGAAAGTACCTCTCCAGATGTTTTGGACTTCAACTCCTTGCATTCCTGACCATTAGCCATGCTGGCAGGGGCTTCTGGGAATTGAAGTCTCAAACATCTGGAGAGCTACCTTCTGCCAATCCCTGCACTAAGCTTCCAAAGAATAATTTGTAAGTCATGTTGAGCTCCTCTGGAAAAGTTCAGGTAATAAGGATGATGAATATAAATTAAATATATGAGATGCCTCTTGGATAGCTGATTTCCAGGGAAGTCTGGCCCTGTTGCACAAGCAAAAATCATAGTATGTGACATGTCCTTCAGACAGCTCCTTAGAACAGCAGTGGGAACCTGAAGTCTGGAGACCAAATCCAGCCCTCCAGGGGTCTCATTCTGGCCCTCCCGAGTTCTTTAGAAGACCATTTCCCCTTTCCAGTGCAACACTGGCCCTCTATAATATTGCTGTGTTTATCTGAACAGCTGAAGAAGGGAGAATGCAGACTGAAGGGACTGCAGGATGTGTGGCCTCTTCCTAGTCAAGATACTATCTTCCTACAGCCAATAAACATCTTTGTTTATTGTCCACACCCTGATGGAGAATTTCCTGAAGAAGAATTTGTTAATGTTGAAATGCTTGTGCACAATGCACCCAAAGAAAGTCTGGCAAAAAGAAGAAAAAGACCACCACTCCATGTGTTTGTAGAAACCTCTCCCCAAAGGGCTGCCTTCTTTCTCTCCACCCCCAATCGTTTTAATTAAATTTTATCTGCTTCATCTTTATCTAGTGTCTTTTAACTTGTTCTGTTTTGGCAGCCCATCCTGCAAATGGCTTGAAGGGTGGGGTATGAAGCCCTGCAACATACAAAGAAATACTATTTAATATCAACTTCAGAAGGATGACCATGGTTTAGAATGGACTGACCCTCTTCAAGAAGCCTTTTCCCATGGGGTTTTGGTTTTGATTTGTAGGCAACCCTTGTGAAAGAACAAAAGAGCAGTCCCCTCATACCTCAAAGGTCACTGAGGTGCAAGCGGGACATCTGGATAGCCAGCAGGTCATGCAGAGGGCATTCTGGCCTGGCCCTCTGGCCTGGCAGCATCGCCCTTTCTCTCTTGGGCAAAGCAAGAATGAGTGTGGCAGCCAAAGGAGTAAACACATCCCTGTTTTCCCCGCTCCAGGTGTGATGCAGGCTACACTGGGCAACACTGTGAAAAGAAGGACTACAGCGTGTTATATGTGGTTCCAGGCCCTGTACGATTTCAGTACGTCTTAATAGCAGCAGTGATTGGAACTATCCAGATTGCTATTATCTGCGTTGTCGTCCTCTGCATTACAAGGTTAGTAGCAGTTGCAGTTGTCGTGGAACTGCCAGAATTCATCCCAGGAAAGGCAGAAGCCTCCTCCCTGGTTTGGATCTGGAGGTCCTTACAAAATAAAGTATTTGCCACACAAAAATACTAACAGGAAGCTTTATTATCTTGCATGGAAGAGGTGAATACCAAGAAGCAGTGACAGCAAAGATTGATGCAATCAAAAGCACTTCCTGCACTTTTGGAACACCTTCTTTAACCAGATTGGTTAACAATTTAACTACAGCTGTGAATTACTTCTTTTACTTATTTTGGGTGACAAAAAGTATTTAACTTCTTGGTTTGGAATATCTACATTGCTGATTTGCAAAATAAGGAAAGTGAAATTTCTTGACACACATCTCATGGTTATAAACAAGCACACTGCAAAACTCTCTTCTTACCTAAGCTTCACAGCAAGTGTGCATGTTCCTTAACACTCCCTCTGTTGAAACTCGAATTCTGTTGTTAGATGTTTCCTTGACACAGTCTGCCTTTGGAGGCAGAGGGACAATGTTCTTACCTAGAGTGGACTTCCCCAGCCTTGTGCCTTAAAGACATGTTTGGACTACAACACCCAGAATTCCCAGTCAATGACCCTGCTGGATGGGAATTCTGGGAGTTGCAGTCCAAATGTCTTTGAAGGCTGCCCTAGGTTGAGCTCTGTTTGTGTGGGTAAACAACCACCCCAAAAGCCTGGCCAGCATTCCATGGCAGCACCCTAGAAGATTGCTCCAGTGTCTTCAACAGTACGATGGAGATCTGGAAATTGCATCCCAGTGGTAGAAAGTTGGAGCTGGTGCTTTAGATATATTTGCTTGAAGAGAGAGAACCAATTCTCCTGCATAAGTGTGGTTTGCAAATTGCCACTATTTGAATGGTGAGCAAAAGTGTAGAAAGTCAGCATATTCACAGTCCCCAAAGGAAGGCTACAGGTGCAATTTCCATCTAAGTCTCCCGGCTTCTCCCTCTAAAAGCATCCAGAGTCAACTGTCCAAACTGTCAATAGTCAAACAAGCTTGAACTGGGTTGAAGGAGCCAGTGGCTAGGCTGCATATAAGATAGTCTTGCACATTGGCATTTAGCAATATACACCCTTCAGTTCCTGGTGGAAAAGTTCCACATTTTCTCCAGCCTCACAACTCTTTATGCTTTTCGTTCAAACATCACAAGATGACTCAGCCTTCTAGGAAATCACGTGCACTAAAAATATATCCCTTTCCAAAAATGGTGAGGGCGCAGGAATGGGGGAAATGGAATCACATTCCTATGGAAAGTTTAAAAAAAAAACAATGATATATCTAAGCATCCACATCTTGCTCTGCATGGAAGACAGGCGTGACATTCAGGCCAGAAGAAGGTACAAAATAATTCATAAACCCTTTCCTGGCCTAAAGGTATAATAGAAAAATGTCTGCTGCAGCTTGGAGATGCTTCTCAACCAGGCTGAGTTCATCAGCCCTACCCTCAAGAGGAGATCCTCCCCTGCAAAGAAGCAATGCATTATATTAAAGTGGGTTTCAGGGAACATGGAGATAATTCAAACAGCCAAAGCTACAGTGTACATAAAAAGACGGAGATGGGAAAGTAACCGCTCCACAGGAAAAGAGCACTACATCATGTTGTTCAAGCAATCTTCCAACTGACTCTGGTTTGTCAGCTTCGGGACATAAACATGCAGTTTATGTGCCATTTGTGAATAGAGAAAATGGTATGGCTTCACATGGATCCTGTCTATTCAGGGGAGCAGAATTAAAGGTGCCAAAACCTGCGGGGTGGGAGCAGCATGGTGTCTGTAGGCATCCTCCTGATGCTGGGAGGTTTTTTAACAACTGAACTGGGAGGTGGCATGCCACAAAAGGAAGCCCCAGCCTCCTGCACAACTTTCATGACCACGAATGGCTCTGGGGCCCACCTCCTTGGAAATGACAGGTGCCTTCGGCCGAGCATTTCATTTTCAAGTGTGTCCACCGAGCACCTCACAGGGAAAGAGTGGAAGGGAAAATGTGGAGAAGGGGAGGCAGAGAGCCTTCTGAAGAGAGCCAGAGCAATGGCGTGGAGAGTAAGGGGGGGGGGGCGTCTTGCTTCTGCTGTCTCTCTGCGCACATATAGGAATATACTGGCCAGGTCAGTATGCACTTCTTGAAGGATCACTGCCAATATGATAAAGCAATAGTTACCGCATATCCCTGACTACTGCAGAAGTTGTAATCATACGCGATTTGTCTGAGTCATCCGACAGAGACCATATCTTCTTGCAGCCACCTCTACTCACCTCCACTGCTTCTAATCAAGCTCCTAAGAAATCTTTCACTGTGCACCTAATTTAATGAAGAATATATAATCTCACCTTTAATTCACTCAAGTCAGCTCTTGTTATGGTATATGTTGCATTATGCTAACAATATTCTGTACCAGGATAGGCTTCCCTTTTGGGCCATGGATATGTGCGGCACTTAAGAAACTGCCTGGAGCACCGGCACAAAATGTCTGCTGTTGTAGCAAAGGACTAGTAACCCACCCAAAAGGCTGAGCACAAGGAGGAGGTGGAGCCTGGGGTCCAACACACAGATTCAACCCCTTGGAAGCCACACTCCCCATCACCAGCAGAAAACCCAGCTGCCAGGAAGATAAGGGTTTAAAAAGGAGGAAAGAGCAGGGTACGTGGGTGGGCGCAAGGAAAGGAGCCCAGGCACATCGGAGTCCAAGGCCACAACATGGCCTACTCCTGCTCTATCCAAATTCATCCTTTACTTTCTTTTTGCCAACAGAGGTCACTGTCTGAACTAGATCTTTCCTGTTTCTCTGCCTGAACCTTTTAAACTCAGCAGAACCTTGAAAGGGACTGCTGCCATAGCTCAAGCACAGCTGTACATGTGCAGAAGAGACCACAGCTCAGAGAAGGGCCTGTGGTGAGCCCTTCAGGGATGCTGGCCCTGACCAGATTAAATTTGTGTTGAATGCATCTTCTTAGTCCTAGTCTGCCTGCTGAACGCTCACTTCTGAAAGCGTGATCTGTAAATCGGATCCATGTATCCAGACTGCTGTTGTCCTTTTACGGCCACTTGTGGTTGGACTCAGCCACTTATTTTCCACGTGACCATTGCATTTCCTGCTCCACAGAACTGCCACAAAAGGGGCAGGATGGTTTGGAGATTTCCTATTGAGCTAACAGTCCCTTCACAATGGAACATGGAAGGAAAGTTTCCATCAAGTAGTTCTGCTTCACAGGTGATTCACTGACAGATTAATCCTTATGGGATTGTACGTGTGTATGAGTCTGTGTACACAAGTGCACATGAGTGTGTGAGGAGGGAGTGTGTAATTCTGTGCTGGGTGTATTGTCACTTTCAAATCGCTGCTGGCTCTTGCAGCTATGGCAGAAGACGGAAAGCAGATTCCTTTCCCTTTTCGCTCATTCTCTGCTCGTTTTTCTTTTCTGTACTGGTCAATAGGAAGAAATGTGCTTTGCCAGCTCCAAAGTTAGCACAGTCTAGAGCCTGTTGCATGCTGGTCAGAGAACAATGTAGCTTAGGATCTTATCACAGAATCATAGAATAGTAGAGTTGGAAGGGGCCAAGAAGGCCATTGGGACCAACCCCCTGCTGTTGCAGGACACCAAGTTACACCATCCCACTCAGACGGCTGTCCAGTTTCTTCTTGAATGTCTCCAGTGTGGGAGAGCCCACCACCTCTCTGGGCAGCTGGTTCCATTGTTGTACTGCTCGGACAGTGAGGAAGCTTTTCCTGATGTCCAGCCTGAATCGGGTTGTCACAGCTTGAATTGCTTGTTCCATGTCCTACATGCTAGCATTCGCAGTCTTGTGGATCTGCAGTCTTGAGCATCCCCGCTCCAAGGGTCAGCATCTCTGGAGCATCTCAGATAGACACACCAGAGCTTTCCACTGCCACAAGGAGACCTCCACCCACACAGGTCTCTCTCTGTCTTTGGAGCTTCCTCTCTACCCATGGAAAAGGAGTTCTGCAGAACCCAGCGGCACTTCTGCCTCCCTCCTGGAAGACTAGGATTGCTTTTCTAGGAATACTGAAAAATACACAACCGGTTTTTTTATTGTAATCTGAATGTTAGAAGTTTCATTTTTAAAAAGGAGGCAGAGGAGGAGAAAACCTGTTGATATACATTTACTCAGAATTTCTAAAGAACCTAATTTCCTAGAAGACTTTTGAACTGGCATATGTTTTTCTAGGATAGCAGCAGAGCATATATGCTTCTAGGGTTAGTTACTGGGGAAATCCAGGGTAGGGATCGGGTTAGCAAAATGAAGGTGCTTCTGAGGCCCAGAAGGTGCTTAGAAGGGGCAGACAGAACTAGTTGGGCAGAAAAATCTCAGGAAAGGGAGGGTTTCAGAAACTGGAGAGCTGCATGGAGAATTATACCAAATTTTAGAGTGACAGGGTAAATCCAGGTTAGGGTTAGCAAAATGATGGGGCTTCTGATGCTTCCAAGGCCTGGAACGTGCTTAGAAGGGGCAGAAAAATCCCCAGAAAGTGAGGATTTTAGAAATCAGAGTGGTACATGGGGAATTGATTGATTATCATAATCATAATTATTGATCATAATCATTATTGATTATCATAACCAATTTCTAAATTGCCCATTAAAATGATACTTTCTTATTGCTAATTATGATTATTGCAAAGCATGTAAAGCTAGTGTGGTGTCACGGTTAAGAGCATGGCTCTGGGACTCAAAGGGCTGTCATTGTGTGAATAAGATTGTAAGCTGTTTTGAGTTCATTGAGGGGAAAGCAGGGTATAAATCTAATAAATAAATGTGATGTGCTTCAAAGTACATGTGGATGAAATGCAAAAGATTCTGAGTCTCTCAAGGAATAATATGATTGTTGAATATTCCTAGCCAGGGCATGGGGAAGTCTTTCCTCCCAGGCTGATGTGGCACCCCTAGCCATGTCTACTCAAAAGCAAGTTTTCAATGGAAGTTGCCTCCAATAAGCTTGTATAGGATTATAGCCTTACTGGGTGGGCATCTAAGTGGATTCCCCTTTTCCATAATCTCACTACTTAGCCCTGTTGTGTTTACTCAGAATTCAGTGGGCCTTATGCCCAGGTATGTTGGTACAGGATTGCAGATCCTGAGGAGCTCATACTTTAGCAGTTTCATTGTTTCCGACTGTCCATCATAAGAAGAGCCCTGCTGGAAGGCCAAGGTCCCAGCTAGTCTAGCATCCTGTTTCTAGCAGTGGCCAGGTAAAGGCTTCCGGGGAGCTCACAAGTCAGATTTTAAAATAACCACTTTCCCCAAACTCATTGTTCATCCCCAGCACCTGGGATTCAGAGTCAGACCTGCCTCTGTGCCTGAAAGTGGTTAACTGCAGAACATGTTCTCCTCCATGAGTATTTAGACCAGACCTGCAGACATTTTGGACTACACCTTCCATCAGCACTGTGCAATATGACCAAACTACCTGGAAAGCATCAGACTGAAGATCCCTGTGGCACAGTCCTTGCTCTCAAGGATACCTGGGTTCCGGATACCATCAATAAGCTGTCCTTTCCTATTTGCTTCTAAGGAAGGTATTTATACAGAGCAGAAGAGCAAGCAAAAAGTCACACTGTCTGCATTGCACACAAAATGGATTGATTTAAATCTAACTGATTTAAATCATCAAGGAAAAGGTCCAATTGAAAGAACTGTTTTTAGCCAAGTTACCTATTTTGAATGTGTTTCCTGAAAAAGAATATATGTTTACTGATTGGGAGAACAATTAAAATTCATTGGTTTTAAAGCACTCAGAAACTTGATACGACCTTGCAACATAGATCCAAAATCATTCATCATGCAGCCACATTCCTGTGGTATCGCAGAATTATATCTACTAATAGACAGGAGTGATTTCTTATATTTTTTTAAAAAAAATACTATTCAGAGTAATGGTAAGTGTACAGTATTTTTCATATACTTTATTTAGTTAGTTATTAAATTTATATCCTGCTCTTTTCTTTTGAACTCAAAGCACCTTAGATCATTCTCCATCTCCTGTTCTCAATCTTATCCCCACAACAACCCTGTGAAGAAGGCTGGGCTGAGAGTCCCTGACTGGCCCAGAGTCACCCAGGTGGCTCCATAGCTGAGCAAGGACTAGAACCCGGATCGCCTGAGTCCCAGCCCAGCACTCTTAACCCCTACACCACACTAGCTTTGTACATGTAGCTTGATACATTATTGGAAAACTGTCGAAAGATGGCAAGCCACAGAACTTTGCTTCCATTGATGGTATTCTCTGTACGCATGCAAGGATGCTAAGTAAGAAGAATTACTTGAAAGCCAACAGAGCTGACTGGAGCTGGCTATTCAGAAGTAAGCCCCATTGAATTTCTTCCAGATATGTGTATACAGAATTGCCATGAAAGGAAGTCCCATTGAACGAGAGATTTATCTCTGACTAAGCATACACAGACTTAAGCCGTACGTGTCCAGAACTGTCCAAAAGTAATAGTCATCATTAGGCAAATACGTTTCATAAGATGAAAAATAAATATCCAGACTGTTTAGACAGTGTGATTGTAAATATGCATGATTTGAGAATCTGAGATGCTGCAAAATCCAGGCAATTGCTGAGCATAAAGCAGGGATGCAGACAAGACTTCTGTGGAAAGAGGAGGTGCTCCTTGGGATCGCTCCTTGGGATCGCGAGTACCTGTTTCCAGGAGGGACCCATAATAATCAGTACAGTGCAATTATCTTATTTACACAGTAAATGTAATCTATAATGGAAACACACCTATTGTGTCATTTCAAATATTTAACCTCTTCATTCAGAGATTATCCCACATTTGATGCTCTTAAAAGGGTTCTCTTTCCGTTTCTCAATTCCTAGTTTCCTTGGGGTTTACTGCGGCTTTATGATTTGTATCATTGCCTTGGTTGATTATTGCTACAACTTCTGTTGCAGTTACTTTGTTTGTTTTGTTGCTGTTTAGCTATTTTGTTGGGAGGTTTTAGCATTTTTGATGTAATGTCATTGTTTAAATGGGTCTGGATCCCAAACCTGCCTCACAGCAGTTGAAATGGCTTCTTCCATGCATGGAAAGCATCTGATCCAATGGAAGAATTTCTCCGACAGAGCGCAGGTGGTGCTGGCAAACCATTGCAATTCCTGCCTCCTACTGAGGTCCCCTATCCCCTGGGGGGGGGGACCCTCTCCAGGGGCCTAGGGGGGACCCTCTCGGTCAGTGCAAAAAGCAGTGCCGGGGACCGCAGGGGTGGGGGAGGATGAAGAAACTGGGCCCATGGCCATCATCTCAAGCTGCTTTGTAAATGTGTGCGTAGAACAGCAGGGTATGCATCTTTAAAATACTTTACAAAAAGACTAGGTTTACTTTTAGTGAATAATCTTGACAGCCAGCCAGCATGGATATTTCATAAAGCGACCGTCCATCGCCCTGTTGGCTGAGGATGATGGGAGTTGTAGTCCAATGGGTTTGGAGAGCGCCAGGTTGAGAAGGCTCTGTGTGTGAGGGAGGGAGGGAGCCTGAGAGAGGCAGTACCAGTGTGACTTTAGGAAGTAATCGTTTCTCCTAGCAGTGTGCTGTCATTCATTGTTCCTTCACCGGTAATAAAATGCAGTGGTCTGGATCCAAAGGTGCCCCTGCCCTGGAAGGCACTCGGCTCTCCACAAGGAAGGAGCTCTGGTTTTTGTCAGTTCCCACACCTTGCTGCAGCCTCCTGTGCCACGGCCAGTTATGGGGGGGTCCCCATCCCTCTGGAAGGGAGTTTGCACTGGCAGCCGCAGAGGAAAGAGAAGGGGCGGGGGGAGTCTCCTCACAGGCTTATAATCTGAGACAGTGTGATGTTTTAAAATGATGCATCTGTGTGTTTAAATAGCATGCTTATATTACCTTGTTCTGCTTAAATACCCCCGTGCACTTGTTCAATTAAGAGAATACCAATGGGCTGTGACTCGTGTTTCAAACCAGCGCAAGAGTAAACAAGGAGAATCCATCTGCACGGTTAACAAACATTGGTGTGCTTTTATATCCGTGCTGCATTTATGCTTCCATAAACACTCAGTGTATTTCGAAGTGGGTCGATGAGGAAAAAAGCAGCGATTATCTTCTCCTTTATTCATGCTTTCCCAGCTGGAAGGAGATTTGGGGAAATATTTTGAACATCCCCCATGGTTTCCTGTACATTCCTTTCTTGCAGTCATATCGCTTATTTAAACCAGGACATGGAAATAACCTTCTCTGCATGCAAGCTGTGTCCTGGGGGAACTGGCTTGACGTTTGCAGGCTCCTGGATGAAAATCAGGTCCCAGGAGTGCACCGACCGGGGTTGCTGCTCTTCACCAGGTTCTGCAGCCGTGCAGCCAGGGAATGATGAACTGCAGAGACCGCCATGGCTGCCAGCTGCCCTTCAGTGGCCTGCAGTCCTTGTGCTACCTCCACTGTCGTTCAGCAAAGCAAATTTCATGCTCTTTTTCCCTTTGCTCTCCTCTACTGCTTTTAGGAAATGTCCCAGGAGCAACAGAATTCACAGGCAGAAGCAAAACACAGGGCACTACAGTTCAGACAACACAACAAGAGCATCGACCAGGTTAATTTAAAAGAGCGCATGTTTCCACAATGGCAAAAGTAAACTGCAGAGAGCTTGGACTTACAAAAATACAGTATTATAGACAAAAGATCTACACATGTTGCCTTGCATTTGTGGTAATCTACACCAATGAGAAAAAAAAACATGTACTACAGCTATATTTGATTATGTATGGATATATTTGAAATAGTATACATTGTCTTGATGTTTTTTCTGTAATGTAAATAAACTATTTATATCACACAATATAGTTTTTCTTTTTCATGTATTTGTTATATATAATAAATACTCAGTGATGAGAAAAAATTTTTTGCTTGCTTAAATTTGCTGTACCGTACAACCATGTTCTCATCTGACAAGATAAAGACTTAAGTGGTGCAAACCAAAGCCATGCAAACATCCACATGCTGTTGGAACAATGGCTGCATTGCAAAACGGGGTCAGGCTGTCTGAATTGCTCAGAAGAGGGGGGGCTTTAAGCTGCTTATCTGTTCAGGATTGCAGCTGATACAAAGAGACGCCACCACAGCCATTGCCCTCTTTGCATCTGCCACCTTGGTCATCCTGAGCCAGTCGCTTTCATCCACCTCTCCTTTACAGGTCCACCACCTTGATGGCCTTGATGCTGTCCATAATTTGCCAACGGAAGCATCTGGGTCACGGCCCAGTGGTGGAGCACACGCTTCCCATGCAGAGGGTTCCTGCATCCGTCCTGGCATTGAAAGCACAGGGCTGCAAGTGCTTGGGAGCCTAGAGATCCACAGCCAGGCACCATAAAGTATGCTTGTATGTGCGTAGGTATTTCTCCCACTGAGGAACTCACAATGCCCAGGTGGTCTCCCCTCCAAGCTCTGGCCAGCCCAGACCTGCTTGGCTTCAACATGGCGGATGTCTTCAGACCATACTCTGGGCCTTTCAGAGTACAAACTAGTCTTCCAGCGATGAGTGCTTTCCAGGCATTTTGGACTTCAGCTCCAGGCAACATAGCGAATGGTCAGGAATGTTTTGAGTGAATGGCCAGAACATCTGGAGAACATCCAGCTGTAGGCTCTGGCATAGACAAGCCTGAGCAAACTGGCCCAGCAGTTCATCTCTGGATAAGGAGTCTATGACACCCTGAAGGAATGTTTGCAGTGACCGGACTGTGGCGTAAGGCCACCTATAGTGCCCACTCATGGTGGCAACTCAGAGTCATTTCAGATACTTACTCAGTCCATTCTTCATGAATGCCTCTCTGTTCCTTAAATTCTGTGGGCCCATAAGCAAGATCCCCATGACATTTTTTATTTATTTTTATTAGTTTTATATCCCCTTTTTCATACAATGATCTCAGATCAGCTTACATCCCTCTCCTCCTGCTGCTTTCAAGCTTAGCCTCACAGCAACAACCCTGTGAGGTACATTCGGCTGAGAGTCTGTGACTGGCCCAAACTCACCCAGCTGGCTCCATGGCTGAGCGGGGACTAGAACCTGGATCACTTCAGTCTCATGCGTTTAACCACTGCACCACACTGAAATGGGATTGGCATGGCTGTGAGGCTCCCAGCCAGCATAAGGTAAATGGGACAAAGCTAGATCTTATGCTAGATGCAATTAAGTAAAATTTGTGTTTCAGTTTTTTGTTTTAACTGGTAGGTGGTTTGGAGTGCAAACAGAATACTGGGCTTCAGAATATGTGAAAGATCCAGCTCTTTGAGCAAAACTAAATCTTTCAGGCTATAAGACCAGTTCCCACCTTTCTCCTCCTGGCATAATTTCCATAATGTAACACTGTAGAGCAAGGGTGGGGAACCTTTTTCAGCTTGGAGGCCAATTTCCAATTTGGGAATGGCCTCAGGGGCCATTCACCAGCAGTGGGTGGAGCTAAAAGGGTCAAGGAAAGATGCAATGCATATTAATGCGGATGTTCTCCAACCAAGCATGCAAAATACAGCTCAATATTATGCATATCTACTCAAGAGTATGATCCAGTGCAGCAGCTCCCACACCTGCAAAAGCATGTCTCGATTTGTGTGCAGGTATGAAGTTACTTTGCTTTTAAATGCCCTACTGCCTATGATCAGCTTAGAAAGGAGATGAGTAAGGGGAGGTAGGACAGAGGTGTTTAAAATAATGCATGGTGTGAAGAAAGTAGAGAGGGAAACTTTTTCTCCCTCTCCCATGATGCTTGAACTGGGGTCATCTAATGAAGCTGATTGTTGGGAGGTTTAGGACAGATAAAAGTAGGTGCTTCTCCATACAGGAGACAGTTAAACAATGGAACTCATGGTCACAGGAAGTGGTGATGGCCACCAATCAGGAAGGCTTTAAAAGGGGATTGGACAAATGCATGGAAGGGGAGGCTCTCTGTGGCTACTAGCCTTGCTGGCTATGGCTGCCTCCTTCACCAGAGGCAGCATGCCTGCATACACCAGTTGCTGACCAGCTTGGGCAGGAGGAGAACTTGCACCCATCCTACTCGAGGGATCCTGTGGGCAGCTGGCTTGCCACTGTGTGCACAGAGTGCTGGACTGAATGGACCTTTGGTCAGATCCGACATGGCTTTTTAATGTTCTTACGTCTTTAGGATCAGTGATTAGAAATAATAGCAGAAGAAGCTTGTGAGCCAGATGTGCAACCCATGACCACAAATGGTTCATGGGCTGGAGTTTCCCCATCCTTGCTATGTGGGTACCACATGTTGGGCTCATCCTGCGAAGGAGTTGAGTGAAGTGAGCATCTCCAATTGGTACCATAAAAAGAGAGAGAGGAAAGTAAGCACTAGGCTCTGAATAACATGCCCAGATTCGCTCAAGCATTCACCCTTCTTTGTGGGTGGGAGGGGGGGAGAATGTCAAGTCTGATTTAGGCAGAAAAACATCTTGGACCAGCATGGACCACATATGTGAGGCCTTGTCAATGACATCCTTTCAGCTGTCAATTCCCCGGCATAATATCCTGTGTAAATGGGATGCCTGCTTTCTAAATTGAATTACTGGTTATAGAAGCAGGAGGGGAGAATATTTGGAAAGACACTACCAAGAAAACCTCACACACAGCCCTTGATGTTGCACAAAGAATCCTCCAGGTCTTTGTAAATGCAGGGAGAGGACTGCAAACTGCTTCCTGTTTGAAATGTTAAAATTACTAGATAAAAAATGTCAGTAGCAAAACTACTGCTAAAATACAGAGCTGCTGCAGTGCTACTGCTTAGATGTCAAATGAACAATTTCCTTTATTTTGGATGGCCCAGCTGTAAGTACCATTATGTATGTAGCCAAAAAAAGCCAATGCATAAGTGGAAGGTGGCAGCAGGATTGTGAAAGCCCCAACATTTGCAGAAGTACAAACAAAATGGAAAAACATATGGGATGAAATCCACCATCCCTCCCCAAAAAAAAAAAAAAAAACTCAGCCCAGCAAGGCAGAAGGAAATCCAGGTGAGGGGAGGAATGGAACAGAACGGAATGAAATGGCCAACGTGCCAGCCAAGCAGCCAGACATGGATGGAAAAAATCTATGCTGCAACAATCTGTTGCAAGTCATATAAGCGGATGGCACTTGCAGCTTGATCCTGAGCGCCAGGGGTTGGACCTGATGGCCCTCTGGCCCCGTCCAACTCTACTATTCTATGATTTCCATGGAAATTAATTCAAGAGGAATTATTCTCAATTAACCCTGAATAGACCCACTTGCAGCAATCACTAACCGCTAACCAAGTTTACTTAGAAATAAGATGCACTCGTTCAATTTACTTCCAAGCAAGAATGGTGAGGATTCTTGCATTTTGCCCCCCCCCCACACACTCTCTAAAATGTGTGTCTAACAAACCACCAGCAAAAAAGTGATTTCAAATCACTTCCTAAAAATCAATCCTATTATGAGTCTCTATGTCCTAAACTCATATTTGCATACAATTAAAAGGTCACACGCGGCCAGGATAGTGGAGATTACTTTGATGTGCTATAACGAACCTCACTTTTAACAGTTTGTAATCTCTTACTCAGAGACAAAACTTGCAGCTATGACAAAAAAAGACGGGCGGGGGAGCAAGGAAGTGAACGGCATGTCTGATGTGGGATGAGAGGAGAGCAGCCTTTAATCATTTCATTTTCAAAGAAGCTTTAGAGATCTTTTGAAGATGATTTCCCCCCACACACCCCAAGCTTTATCTGAACATAATAAGAGACTGAGAAATTTCCCATCCACCTTTCCTCCAGGGACCCATCTCTAGGTTAAACCATGCAAATGCATTCAGATAGACTTGAATGCCTAGACAGCACGGTGGTCAGGAGATGGAGACACCTCTTGGGATGGATGCCAACCCTGCCTTCTATTGATGGAAGGGCTCCATTCCTGGACAGTGTGTCCTTGTGATTTGGCGGGGGGGATCCCTCCCTCCCCACTCACACCTCAGTTCACCCAATTCAGCAGGGTTCACCAGGCATTTTCAAGGGCCTGGTGTGGGGAACAAGGGGTGGTGGAGTCTTGCTTCTGAGAGCCCAGCTGCGTGGTTGGGTGGCCAATTATATTTCATTAAAAAGAGGACACATGTTTGTATGAAATCTGCACATACGCACTTATGGAGAGAGGTGCACATTTAGAAATGGTCACTATAATTTAAGGTAGATCTTTGCATAGTGTTGGACACTGTGACCCTGTGAGCTGTATGCCTTGGACCACATTGGCTAGGTTCAGACAATATGGGTGTGGGTTGAGGTTAAACCATAGGTTCTTGCTGAAGCGTGGTTTATGGTGTTGTCTGAGGCCAGCTGCACTAACAAGCCATGACTGGTTAACAAGTAACAACCCATGAAGAGAACTCAGGGTTTGTTGTTGGGTTGTGAACTGTGGGTTGTTCACTGTGGTCTGTCATCTCAGCTGGGTTCAGACAACATGATAGCCCAGGTTTCACTCCCTGGTTGGGTAAAGGAAGTGTCTAATGTTGCTTCTACCCATGCTTCAGTGACACCCATAGCTCAACGACACACTCGGTCCATACTCAACTTTTGAGTGCAGGTTATCATGTTGTCTGAACCCACTCATTGCCACATCCAGATGCAAAGCCAAACAAATGATGTGAATCCGGTGCTCTGGATAGAGGTTATGTTCCTGTGAATGTGCCCACCCTCCAGGTAACTGGGCAGCTTCTTGATGCAAC